AGAAATTTTTGCTGCGTAAAAAATTACCTCAGCCAGGGTTTGAATCTGGACCTCCCTACATTCGGTGTGGGTGTCTCAACAGCTTCTGTTCGACCGCCGAGGCATGTGATAATATTCGTCGCTATATTATATAATATAATATTATTTTTGTTATTCTTTTATATCCACACAAGTTTTAGGAACATAACGATATCAAATACATAATATAAATATAAAATATAAAACTGAAAACGTAAAAACATGGCGAGAAGATACATATATAAAAATTACGGCGAGAAAGATTCTTTGCCAGAGATTTACTACGCAACAAAAGTTACATTCAATAACATTTTGTTATTTGTTACTAACCGTGTGTGAATATGTATTATTTTAATAGCGTGTGATAAAAAAATTAACCGCATCTAATCAAATCATTTTTCTGTGGTTGAATTGCTTATAGTTTCGAAGTAAACAACGTTCATATTAACGTACGCACTTACTGTTGGTAAATATAAACTTGAATCACATATAAATTTGAACCAAATTTAAAACATTGTAAATGTAAACGGATTAATGGGCGTTGGTAATTATTGCGCAGTAATTTTTTAAATTAATTAGAATACAATTAACTTGAAAACATACACTGTGAACGTCACTGCATTTTAATTAATTTAAAAAAATACTCCGCAATAATTATCCGCGCAAATTCTCCTATTAACCCCGTTTATATTTCAATTGTTGACCAGCTTTGGAAAGTTTTGGAAGTTTATTGATCTGTTATTTGTTTGATTTTAATTTTAATACATTTTTTCAGGTAAAATCGTTTAATTTTATTGTTTTAGTTAAATTGAATTGAAACAGTATGACGACTTAGAGGGAAACGATTAAAAGTAACTCAAATAATAATCTGACATTATGAATTTTACAGTGTAAGGAAAAGTGTCACAACTCCGGACAGGGGATAAAGTATGCATTATATCTACTGAAGTTGCAGCGTTTGAATTTTGAAACTTATGACGTAGTTTTAACATTGTAATAGAAAGTATAACAAGAAAATGAGGTTATGCATATATGCTCTATCTGTCTTTTAATCAAAGGCGTTCCAAAATCAATTTAATTCAGTATTTTAAAAGTGCTCTACTAAAAGAGGTAAATAATTTCGAGTTACTGATTTCACGTCGACGAGGCGATACGTTTAAAAGTAACTATATAATAAAGTAACAAATCGCTCCATTAATTCATCAAGAGCACAAACAGTTATTATATCCGGTAATAGCGTTAGTAAGCATATCTATTGTCATTATCGAAGATGGAACACTTGTCACACTCTAATCGAGCGTAATATAGACATTAGATAATGTATAATAGCGAATTCACGGTATTAAGCGCATATTTGCGTTACCGATGTCAATTGATTGATTGAATTTCCGTGATAGACACAAATTAGACAGACTGTTCATCAATCTTTGACGGTAAATATTATCTCGCATTTTCTCGATATAACAATACCTACAGGTCAAAAAAGTGTCTACGCGAGTAAATGAAAGAAATATTATTTTTAATTTCATTAGCCCTTTTCAGATTCGTAAGTTATTATCATTTTTAACACAAACTCTATAGATATCCTTGACTCCTTTTCGTTAATAATTTGCATTTTTGTTATAACAAGATTGATCTGCAGGCTCGTTATACAATACAATACTTGATTCATGATTATCGCACGATTATTATCGGTGCAAAGTGCATATTTTTCGCGCGAATATATTCAACGTACGTTCTCGTGTTCTTTTCCTTTTTCTCTTCTCGTGCTCCTGCCGATCGGCGGAAAAAAATATGGTGGTACAGCCGTCGGGGAGAAGACGAATCTATGTGTACGCGGGACAAATCGTCGTCAGTTTCCGGCTAATAGTTAAGAGGATGCTGAATGGTCGGGAATTACCGACAATTGCAGTTGGGACGATAACTTCGAAAATACTGAACGGAATTAAAATCGCTTTTACAGGATTGAAATAGACATAAAATGTAATGGGGCGAGCTATTTTTTTGTAGTAAAAACGACAAAAAATTAAAAAATTATCTTTTTTCGAGTTGTACAGCAATCATAACCTATCACTTGACGTAAACATTTCATTGGTATAAAAGTTCTGTAGCTCATACGTACAAAATAAGTAGCTCGCCCCCTTCGGATTACAGGAACAAATAATACAAGACCTTTTGAGCTACGATTGAAAGCTTAGAAAAAGGTTTATCGTTCCAACTGCAATTTATGATAATTCGCACGCTTAGCTAAAGTAAAGACAGCAAAAATTGCGTCTGGCAGTAAGTGCCGAATTTTCCAAGAGATGGCATTTCAATAAGTCAGATAAGGACATTCCACGTATTTGAGTGAGACCAAAAGATATTGTAAGAAGTTCATTTAGAGATATCACTGACACTGAAAAGTCTGCTTTATCGACTTCGTACAAATTTGGCCGACCTTTCAGCATCCTCTTAAGTCCGGTTAATAGTGAAAAGGATGAATGGCGGAAGGACGCTCGCGAAAGAGGATTACCATCAATTGTGCGGGTGAACGGAAGGGAGGATGCTTTGAACCGCCGCGCGGCTGTTTTTCCAAGCTATCTTACGTAGAGAAATGTTCGCTCTCGGTGCGGCACGAATGGTCAAACTGTTCGAACGTGCAAGCCGCCGCCGCCGTCGCAGGAGCAAAGAGAATTCTGAAGTTCTCGAGGTTGATACTTCAGGAAGGCAATGTTTAATTTAGTAACTCGAGTTTTCCGTTTGGAAGAGGTGTGTGGGCACATTCTAAATGTAAATACTTAAATGTAAAGAAAATAATGTTATTTCAGTAAAATGTACCACTTTGATTACGCAAACACTTCTCATCCTTTCCTTCATGTGTGTGCATCTGCAAATACATTTTATATACGTTTTATCTTTCTTAACGCTCGAATAACGTGTGACTGTAGTTGCCTTTATACGCGGGAATATCCATTTTTCTTTGGAATGTTTATATTGGTTATCTTCTCTATTTTTATTGGTATTCAGATGATCTTACTGAGAAAAATTTCCAAGTTTTTTTCGTTTAAAAAGATCAGATTATCTTTTTAAAAGGTACAACAAACGGATATTTACGATCAACTAAATAAAAAATCTGATCACTAGTTAATAAATATTAATAATACTAGTTAATAAATAAATATATTTCCGATAAACTAGTGGTCAGATTTTTCCGATCAATCCGATCAATAGATCGGAATGTCAAGAGAAATATCCGATCATTAGTTCATCGGAAATATATTTCAAATATATATCACTTTCTTCTTTTTCCTATACTGACCTTTGTCCCTTCAAGCAGAGATAAACTTGGCTAAGCTTACAATGCACGAATAAGACACCCGGCAGATCTCATCGTCGAGTTCAAAAAATGATGCAATATTCGAGCCGAAACGGAACACATCCACCTCCCTCGAACTTAAGTAAAAGACTGATAACAGCATTGATTGTAAGAAAGGGGGCTTTCCCGATCGGATATCACATTTGACTTGAAAATTTCATAGAATAAATCGACAACTAGCTCGGATATTACAATTGATCGGATAAAAATCCGTTCAAGTATAATATCCGATCTAATTGTCCATTTAACCTATGAAATTTTATCGAATAAGCAGCTCATGGCAATATGGCGGCTCATTTTCCGTTTACATTTTATTGGAAATTATATTTCATCGGATAAAAGCAATGATTATTTTGTATCCGATTTGTTTACCGATCGAAAAAATGATCGGAAAAGAACTTAAACGTTATTTCTAATCAAAACTATTGAACATTTTTCTTAGTGCTTTATTACGAATTTTTTATGTTGCGATTTCATTTTAATACATACCAGGGTTGCCACAAAAAATGAAAATCGGGGAAAAATCAGGGAAGTTGAAAACAGTTATGGAAATCAGGGGAAAGTCAGGGTATTTTACACAATTTTTTGGAAAATTAAAATTCTTAGTTTTAAAGAAGATTAATATATCACACACTTATGCAGTTTTGTTACTTATAAGTTTCTTGTGTCACTTATGAACAAATTAATAAAATTAAAATTGATACAATAACTATTGATAAAAAGACATCATATTTTTGTAATTTTTCTTTCAAATCTGTAAACCTTTGTATAACAGCAAATTGGAGATTCCAATAAACAGGATTTAGCTTTTATCAAAAAGAAACTATATTTACATAATCTCTGTATTCTATGCAGAAGAAAAAAATTGTGCGCATCTTATGAAAGAAAAAGATAAAGGAATACTAACTTAACAATTTAAGTACAACCAATGTCAACAACAGTAATAGTAATTTACATTGCTACGTTAAATTGCTCTCAACAAAATATTTAACAGTTTCCAAATAATTTCCAAATCAAGACGAACATACAAAAAAAATGTTTTAATATTATTGAAAGGCAGGGAAAATCATGATTTTTTTCTGGAAATTAGGGAAAAGTCATGGAATTTTAGAATGAAGAATTTGTGGCAACCCTGAATTATACTGAAATTTTAATTCTGAGCTTCGAGAAGTGAAATCTTTGGCAGGGGGGAGTGGGGCAAATTTGACAATCTCTTTTCAGAGGGAAACGCCTCGAGAAAATAATTTCGAAATTTTGATAGCGGTAATATCCATCCGGGTCGTACGTGGATCTTCGGGCGTGCATTTCCGGCAGAGCGCCGGTTGGAAGACGGCAGGCAGCGTGTGAATGCATCGATAAGCACATGATCCGATATCGGATCTAATATGTATGTTAATTTGGCTCCCGCGCATATGCATCCGTATAGATCCGTGAAATGCTGCTTAAACCCTCGAGTGCTCCGCGAAATTTTACAGGCGGCACGTATGCTGCAAGAGAGGACGGATACGTGCACGCGCGCGCGTGGCGAAGATTTGCAATTAGTACAATTTTAGGGAGGAAAAAAACTGGGAAGACAACGCGGCGTCCCAATTCCTATAACTTACTCCCAGCCCAGTATATCACCAAGATGAAAACAAAACACGGGGAATCGAGACAACAACGGCCCCCAAGTTAGTTGGCGGAGGAAACGGAAGGGAAGAAGAGATAACGCGCGCGGCGGGACAGATGGATTTGCATTTTGACGAATCTCTCTCTTTACGCTCCTCTGTCATCTTCGCGGCGTCCCCACGGGCGTGAGTGCGGGCCTCTCACGGCGCGGCGATTTTCCCCGGCGGTATTTTTTTTTTTATTATCCATCGCACGCGCGCACACAAAACGTGGAGGCTGCGCGCGTAAAAGAAATGCGTTTCGTTTTTTTTTTTTACAACGAAATCGACCCGCTATAATCGTTACTTATTATACGCGTGTATGCGAAACGCACGTCGAAGGTCAATAATTCCTTCGCGCGCGCAGAAAAACAAAGAGACTCTCTTAATGCGACGGGAAATTAAAATTTCACAGTCAGTATAATATCGAATTGGGAATCTCAATGTAAAATCAGTCAGTCATCCGTATAAAGATCATCCGCGCCGATATACATAGCGATGTAAATAGCGCAAAATAACAGATACGAGCATTCGATATGTGCGATGTCTTCGATTATCTCGCCAAATCAGATGAATCATTTTATCATCATTATATCCATTAGTAACGTTTTAATGAAGCTCGCAAACGGAAAATTACAATTCAAATAATATAATATAATCTATGACAACGCAAATATATTCCGCATAATATTTGCACGTGTCGCACACACCGCGCGCAAATCTGACCCGATCAATAGGTAGTTCATTGCATTCACGTAGCTGACAATGCCTCCGTAAAATTCTGCAAATCACATCAGATTCAGCCTCTATACCGTGCCTACTTGTGTTGAATATATCGTAATGATGCAAAAAGGAAAATAATAATAATTGATAAAGGTAATCAAATTTTTACAAAATTTTTAACAGAATAAATTGAAAAACGTATATGCTTGTATACTGCTATATATACATCAATACATTTGTTTATTTGTTAGCTTTTTTAAATCATTATTACTAATTAAATGTTAATTAAAGAGCTAAAAATAATTTCACGCCCTGTTAATTATTATTAGCTACTCGTACCCGTGTGTTATTCATTTTTTTAAATGAACTAATTAACGATAAGTGTTGCATGTTGTATGTACGTGACGAGAAATATTACATATAGGGGGTGGGGGGAAGGCAAACCTGTTTCTCCACCGAGATATTGCTCATTAATTTCGAATTATGTAAATATGCGCTATTCATTTGTCCATGTACGTGCCTCCGTTTATTATTTACTTCGTTTTATATAAAAAGAGAGCACACGAGCTGATCGTATACGTAAAATTTAATTATTCAGCGAGCTATATTCTTCGTGAATTATTGTTCGAAACACATATTCGTTTATCTGTTCTATTTTACCTTGTAAAATATCATTTAGTTGGCGCGATAACGTCTGAATTATTGTTCGAAACACATATTCGTTCATTTGTTCTATTTCACCTTGTAAAATATCAATTTAGTTAGCGCGGTAACGTAGTTATTCTATAGTTTGCAAATTTTTCGTGTGACAAATTATAACGTTCAAAGTACTTAAGCTCGTCGAGCGTATTGCGGCGCAGTCATCGCGCTTTATAGCGTACACCACCGAAACGCATTTATGTGTATCGTGATGTTGACAATGTAAATTCCGTTCTACACAAGTTTAATAAAGTCAGCCCTTCAACACTGTTTCATTGTCAGCACTTCAGCGCTGTTTCTCGTAATATCGTAATGCCTCCTTTGCGCCATTAATATAGTTACAATTGTCAAACTTTCTGTGTTAACTCTTGCCACTCGCGGCAAGGTCTTTCGCATATGGCGCGAGATCCTAGCACATTGAGCATAATAGATTTAGTTAACCAAAAAAACACATACGTTACATTAATCATAAATGACACAAAGTACTGCGCAAACGACCTCGAACATTTGTCACACACCCACGTGACTTTTTTTCTCCCCCATGATGAAAACGCGCGACGAGGAAAAATGAAACGAATCGGAAATTGATCGCATTGAGAGGTATCTTCCACTTCTCTCTGTGCGTATATAATGCATGTCAAGACGCTAAGGTTAACAGATTAAAAATCTGTAAATCCTGCATCCTTATACTGCACTTTTATTATTAAAATGACTGCTATATATATTAAGGGGTAACACCACTGTAACGGCCCAAAAAATTGCACTTTTTCGACATTTTTTTTTTAATGGAAGGAAATGAAATAAAGTATTAATACTCCGTGAAGGTAATAGATAGGAAGAGCACAC